AGAAGTTCCAAGCAGAGACATCTTGAAGACATTTGGATATGCAGAGGTCAAGCTCACAAGTAGATTCTAAATGAGATTATTTGGCCATGTGGTTGCAAGAAAAATTGTAATCCACAAACTGGGCGCAGTGGCACATACCTGTAATCCCAGTGGATCAAGCGGCAGAGGCAGGAGAATTGCAAATTCAAAACCAGCCTCAGCAACTTAGTGAGGCCCTAAGCAACTCAGTAAGACCCTGTCTCTAAATAAAATACAAAAAATGGGGGGCTGAAGATGTGGCTCAGTGGTTAAGTACCCCTGGGTTCAATATTTGGTACCAAAAATTTGTAATCTACAGTTATTTGGGGGTTAGACAAATGTGATCTTGACAAAGGGCTTCCAGTAAAAATAGATGCAAAAATAATAATAGTATACTTTTAAACAGTTTTCTATTGTTGTAATAAAATATCTGAGGGAAACAACTTAAAGGATGAAATATTTCTTTTAGTTCATGATTTCAGAAATTTTAGTCTGTAATCATTTGGCCCTTTGCTGTGGGCTTGTGGTGAGCTGAACATCACAGTGGAGAACATATAGTGGAACACTACTGCCCACCTCAAAAGTGACTGGGAAAGAGAAAAAGAGGGTAAGGGGAGGAGAAGGAGAGAGAGAGAGAGAAAGGAAGGGTCCGAGATAAATTGTACCCTTTGAAGGCATGCACCCCGTGACTCACCTCTTCCAACCAGGCTCTACCTCCCCTAAAGTTCCCAACATCTCCCAATAGGAAAACCAGCTAGGGATCAAGCCTTCAACACATGAGTTTTGGGGTTATATTCTAAATCCAAACTATAATATCCACCCCTGGCACCCAAAGGTTAACGCCCAACTCACAATGCAAAATGCATTGCTTCCAACTCCAAGAGTCCTCATAGTCTTCACAGTTCAAGCACTGCCCAAAAAGTTCAATCTAAACTCTCCTCTGAGATTCAAGGCAAACTCTTAGCTGTGAACCCCTATAAAAATCAAAACAACAAATTACATACTTCTAATATACAGTTGTACAAGGCAAACAGTCTCATCCCCAAAAGGAGGAATGGGGCATAGAAAGGAGTGAGAGAATCAAAGCAAAAAAAAAAAAAAAAAACAGAAAACAAACATTAAGTCCTGTAGCTCCATGTCTAAGCAATCAGAGCAGGTGGTAGCATAGTGTCAGCTCCAAAGGGCTTGGGCAGTCCCACCTCTATGGCCTTGCTGGTTGAAGTCCACATGGCCTCTCTCTTCAGCCAGTTCTGTTCTGTAACGAATAGTGCTACAGGCATAAATAACATGGAGAAATAGTCTAATTTAATATTTCCTCAGCAGATATTCACATTCCTGGCATCTGTTATTATCTGGGGTCTCCACTATAGCTCCAGTTTCATGCACTGCCCTCTCAGGGGATGCCTAAAGGAGATTCATCCCTACCAAACATTACCTCATCTCTCAGACTTCCTCTGAAATCTTGCTGGAAACCTCCAAGACCATGTAACTCTTCCATTCTGCATTATCTGCAAAAGTAGCATCACATGAATGACACAATGGTGTCCTAATTAGAATATATTCTATGCTTGTATAATTATATCAAAATGGATTCTAGTGTCATGTATAAGTAAAAGAGACCAATTTAAAAATAATTTAGCACATAAAAACATCTGCTGCAAAAAAAAAAAAAAAAAAAAAAACATCTGCTGCAAGCAGGAGCAGTAACCTGGTTCATTTGGACCATGGTTACAGCAGCCTTTGAGTGCTTACATGGCTGAATACAGTGAAATAATTCCTGGAGAAACAACTTCCTAGGCAGCCCTTTGGGAGCAGGGCACCCTGGCTCTCTCTTCTCAAACTGAAATCTTGCAAATGAGTTTACACTTTTACACTCTTCAGCCTGTGATGGGTGGGGTCTGGCCAATTACCAAAATGCCCTCAAAGATCTTTCCTTCTCCCCACCCCACCGCCATGGTGCTGGGAATTTAACCCAATGCCTCACACATTTGGCTTCTCTTTAATGGTGCTAATCTCTTCAGCAACCACACCTTTTTTGACCATAATTTAAAATGTGCTCCTTTTCTAGTGAAACTGCAAATTTTTCAAATATTTTGCTCTGCTCTTTGCTCTCAATCCTCACAGGTAAAAGCAGCCAGAAATATCACATTACCACTTTAATTCTTCACTGCCTTGAAATTTCCTCCACCAGATTAGTCCTTTAAATTCAATCTCACACAAAGTTTTAGAACATAAACAAAATGTAGACAAGTTCTTTACCAGAATGTAACATAAATGGCCTCTAGTTCATTCCCCAAAAGAGTCCTCCTTTTCACTGATACCTCTTTTGCATGGTCTTTATTGAATGCATTCCTATCAGAATTCTGGTCTAATGAGTTTGAACCAGAGTTAACTATTAAGCTCTCCTCACAACATTCTAGAGCTTCTTTCTCCTGCATCCCCAAACCTTTCCAAACCCTTCCTATAAACCAGTTTCAAAGGCTTCTGAACAACATCATCAGGTGTCGTGAAGCAACAACTCTAATTCTCTATATTAGTCAACTTTTCATTACTGTAACAAAATAGCTAATTTAAAAAAAATAAAGAAGACTTTGGCGGGTATTCCAGGTATGGAAATTGGGATCAATAAATTTCCAAGACCCTGCCATCAGTAAAATTCTTTCTTACAAAGAAGTATTCTAATCACTCTCAATGGAGTCTATTCCAGCCAGGTTGTACGATTGTACAAAATGTTAGATCAGAGATATATGCAACAGAATTGATCGATGGTCAGGAAGAATATCTTGTGGCACACATAACTGCAATATAATGTAGATGGATTCAGCCTGAGATGATTTTCCTCTTAGATGAGGTGATCTCCTCTAGAACTTCCACAGACCTACTGAAGAAATTGATATATAAAAAGATACAACACAGTACAGCATGTATTATAACAAAGATATGCATACCAGACTGGGGGAACACAGAGGAATAAGTTATTATCTAAAAATAACTATTAACAAAAATTCTAAAAACAATTAAAATAAATAAAATAAAATTTGAGGAAAGAACAGTTGGAACTCGAGCATAAACTTAAAGGGCAAATAGGAATTTTCAAGATTTACCAAAGAACTTGGTAAGGATTGAAGAATATGGTATAGGGAGAGAAGAAGTGAAGAGGATTTCAGGCAGCAGGATTCAGGCACTGAGAAGCATAAAGGAGGGGCTGGGCTTGTGGCTTAGTGGCAGAGTACTTATGAAGCACAGAGTTTGATTCTCAGCACCACATAAAAATAAATAAATAAAATAGCAGACTGGGCAAAGGGGAGGGAGGGAGCATGGGAGCAGGAAAGATGGTACAATGAGATGGACATCAGTACCCTAGGTACATGTATGACTGCATATATGGTACAATGTTACATTGTGTGCAACCATAGAAAAAATTGTGCTGCAATTGTATACAATGAATTAAAATGCATCTCACTGTTATAGATACCTAATTAAAATAAATTTATTTTTAAAAATAAATAAATAAATAAAAGGTATTGTGTCCATCTATAACTAAAAAAAAATTTTAAAAAAGCATAAAGGAATAAGGCTTACTAAGAGAATAACAAGAACCTGATGTTTCTACTAGCATATTCTAATCATCATAAATGTTTATTTAATTCATTTTTTTGATTCACTTTATCTTCATTATATTCAGTTAAAATGAAAATTATTCCAATTAGTTAGTAATTGACAGGCTTTGGCAATCAGAAAGTACATCTTACTGTCATATATACCTAATTAATAAATTTATTTTTAAAAATAAATAAATAAATAAATGGTATTGAGAATACCTTTTGATTCTCAGCACCACAAAAGCAATATATTGAGTAACACAAATGGAAGCTGTCCCTTCATCCTCTCTACTGATGTCATTCATTTCATCCCAACACCAACCTGCACTCAGAATTCAATACCTCTATGAGATTCTCCATACAATGCTTTAGTGTCTGGGAGTAACAGTTCAAACATAAAAGAGTGACTTAATGAATTGTGACTGTGTACTTCATCTTGTTTAAAAGAATGTCTTCATGGACTCTCCAAAAGTTAACCAGCTCAAGAATGACTTTTGCATGGGAATTATTCATTTTTGCTTTACACCAACAAGATTAAAACAGAACACTTTTGGAATCTCCCAATGAATCCACTTACTCACAGTTTTTGTACACAGTGTAGATTTTACTGAGGAATTAGTTCAGAACAGAGAGGAGGGGTTTTAGATTTTGTATGCCAAAATAAACTGTTTAAAGCAAATAATCTTAACTCTGTTTCCATGATCTCTTTAACATGCAATGGTTGAGAAGAGCTTCTCTTTGTCCTTTTCTGCTTCCCACCTTTTCTTCCTCACTTCCTATCTTCTTCTTTTTCCTTTCCCTAATGTACTACATAACATTATTGAATATTTTTTTTCTACACAGAATAATTGAGTCCTAAAGGCATTTCCATTATCAAATTTCATACTGGGCACTCAGCAAACAAAAGCCACTGCTCTGCTTATCTGCCCAGTTTACAGGACCAACTTTCTTTCTTTCAGGATATTTATAGATAATTATATTTTGTAACATAAACATAGTCTTGTGCTCCCGTCAGCTATTCCAAGTCATCTCCTAAAAGACCAAATGAAAATTTTCTGCTTCTCACCGTAATAGTGGTAAGTGAAACTGTGGTAAGAGTTACAGCTGAGAAAGGACAGTATGCAGTGAGAGAATGTAGGAGAGGCATCTTCCAGTTGAGGATCATAGAAGAAGGAAGCAAAAATCCTAAATAAAATTTGGATATGGAAAATCCAGTGGGTGGGCCAAGGGGTTGGCAGTGTAGGTTGTAGGTTAGGAGATGGAAGCAGAAAGTGGTTCAGCAAGGAGGAACAAAGTCTCAGGGGCAAATTGCAGATTAAAAATAAAACAATGAGTACATGTAATTGGGTTTTTTGTGTGATCTTTCCTAGAACTCTCATCATGTCCTCAATTATGATGCTTCGAAGAGCACTGCTGATATTGACATCTCTTTTAACTGTTACCTGGATAACTTCTATCATTGCTCAAAACTCCACAAAGGTAAGAATAGTTTTCTCCAGTTTGGTTTGAAGCCTCCACCTGTGACCTCCATCAATTTAGAACAATAAATCACTCCTTCTCCTTCCCTCCCACTCCAACTCTGTTTATTTCTTCCCTTCTCGGCTTCCTTTCAGAGGGATTACACACACTCTGTTTCCCATTCTACCTCAATCTAATCTAATCAGGATTCCGACTCCTACATGCCCCCAAAGCAGGTCTTGTGAAGATTACCAATCCCATGTCACTAAACTACCCTGTCAGTAAATTAGGTACATAATATACTCCTTGACCACGTAAGTCGGTTTGCCAATGTTTTTTGTCCATGATTTATTTTTCCATGCAAAAGTTATTTTTTTAGTAACCTAGTTTCTCCTGTTGTTTCTGGATACTAAGTCATAATTAGGAAAGTTTTCCCCACTCCAAGCTTATGCAGATTCCATGTTTTCTTGTTTTTTTCACTTGTACAGTTCCATAGTCTATATTTAAATATCTGATCCATTTAGAATTTGTTCTGTTAAATGGTATAACATGTTGATCTAATTTTACTTTTCCATGACTGTCCAGTTATCCTAATTTCTTATTAAAAATTCATCCTACACTCCCACCAATTTTTGAGTGCTGCCTCTATTGCATACTAAATTTGTAAATATAATAAGGTCTGTCTCTGATTTTTAATTTTGTGCCATTCTCCTTTTATTCATTCACTAATAGCATTCTATTTTAGAGATTTTAGATACAAATTTTAATATCTAATAGGGCTAAACCCTATCTACATTCACACCACCTGATTTCTTATATCCCAAATATGCTTTCTGATTATTCTTTAATATTTTTTAGTTGCAGTTGACACAATACCTTTATTTTATTTATTTATTTTTACTTGGTGCTGAGGATCAAACCCAGGGCCTTGCACATGCCAGGCCAGCACTCTACCACTGAGCCACAACCCCAGCCCCGATGATTATTCTTTCTTATTTATCCTTTCAAGTGAAATTTCTAATTGACCTGTGTGACCCAGAAATATTAAGGATATTTTCTTGTGATTTCATTGAATGTATAAATTAGTTTTAAATATTACCTTCATGATATTTTCTATCCAATAATATGGTTCCCTTCCATTTGGACAATTTTGTTTCCTTAACTCTAATATTTCACAAGTTTTCCTCATGTAAATATTCAACATGTTAAATTTGTACTTAAATATTTTACTGTAATTTTACTACTTTCTATCAGATTATCCTATCATTTGATCCTCTCTCTGATTTGGTCTATATACATAAAAGCTATTGAATACATTGATTTTATTACCAAATATTTTACTATATCCTTTTATTGTTTGTAGTCATTGTTGCATCTGAAAATAAAGATTACTTAAAGTCCTCCTTTCCAATTCCAATATCTTATTTGCTTTCTCTTCTTCAAACACATTAGCTAGTACCTCCATCCCAACGTTAATCTATAACACAATAGTAGACAGCATCCTTGTATGGCTCTGAGTTTGGCAGCAAACCCTCTAGTGTTTCCCTTTAAGTAAGATGCTAGTTTTTGAGCTACAGTACATATTTTATTGAGTGTTTTTAACACAAATAAGTGCTAAGTGATTTGAAGTAAAATCCTATTGCTCCAGTTAATATTATAAGGCAGTCAACACACAAATTCCAATTCTCATCTCTCTCTCTCCAGTCACTGATTTTTTTATAATGGTCATTGAATATTTTATTACCATATTTTATACCTTATTCCATTTTCATTTCTTGCTTGTCTTTGCCAAAGGTTTGGAAACCTTCTGAGTTTTCTCAAAGATTCAATTTAAGTTCATCCTTATTTTTAATTACATCTCATTTCTGTTTCTAGTCTCTGGGTTTACTATTCCACTTCATTTCCAACCATCGGAGTTTAACTGATTGATGCTGAGCCACAGAACGCCTGGACAAGTTGTTTTGTTTTTTAGTTTTACTGCATTTTAAAGTGTGAGATGCTTGACAATCACTGATCTATAACCACTATTCTCAAGCTTATCTAAAAGCAGGATACCTGTGATGTTTTCCATTTTCACATACTGCAGGACAGCAATTTAGTGACATGATCCAACTGACCTGAACTATTGCATGAAAATGAATGTTTTGAAAAAAGCTTGGTAGATACTTCTGACTATCAGCAAGAAATTACTAAATTCCAACACCTGTAGAACACTATCCAGTGTTTGAAGTATCAGTGATCTCTAAGGTTGTGAGAAATTAACATATTTAAGTTGTTTGGGGAAAAGGAGGAGGCAGCCGGCAATTCAGGAAAAGAAGAAAGTATTAGTAAAGAAGTAAAAGAAAGTCAGCTTCTAAAAATAAAAGTCGTTAGTCTTGTCAAAATAGAATGCACAGGAGGAAATGGAAAAAGTGGGGAGGTAAAGAGGACACAGCATAAAACCACATTAAGATTGGACTTCCCAAGAATCATGAGAAGCCACTGAAGGGCTTGAGGGACAGAGGAGGCATGAGTCGAGTTTTGTTTTAGGACTGACCTAGCTACCAAGGGAAAAATTAAATGGAGAGGCAGCAGGATGGTCGTATGAAGAACCTTTTCACACTTAAGAAAACTACTATAATTCAAGAGATAAATGATAGTGGCTTGAACCATGATACTATGGGGAAGGAAAGACTGTTAATTAAAACTAACAGAAATTAGTTATTGGATATAAGGTGTATGTGAAAAAGAACAGCAAATGCATTGGCATCAATTTGTTACTCACATGTATGTTCTGAACTATGTCTTAAGTTGAATATAATTGTTAAGGTGTGCGCTAAAATATTGGGGTAAAAACAAATGTTTATGTTTTACTAAAATCTACCAGTTTAAATAATACTGATGATAGTATGTAAAAGAATATTGAAAGTCATCATTAGTAAAGATGAGTACAAGGCAGGTTCAATTCATACCACATTATATTTCTTATCATTTTAGCTTTGGTCTGTGGTAAACTTATCCATTTCCCTCCATCACTGGAACATCTCCAAGGAATCATGTCCTGAAATATCAACGATCTTGGTAAAATCACCAACAGAAACTGAACTCAGAATAAAGGAAATCCTACAGAATATACACCAGCTGATCCCGCCCAGACCCTACACCCATGTGAACAGCACCACCAGTGCCAAACACAGCACAGTCACCATCCTCAACCCTAAAGACACATACTGCAGGGGGGACCAGCTGGATATTCTCCTGGAGGCCAGGGACCACCTGGGACACAGGAAAGAATATGGAGGGGACTTTTTGAGGGCCAGGATGTCCTCCCCAGCTTTGAAGGCAGGCGCCTCAGGAAAGGTGACAGACTTCAACAATGGCACCTACCTTGTCAGCTTCACTCTGTTCTGGGAGGGCCAGGTCTCTCTGTCTCTCCTGCTCATCCACCCCAGTGAAGGGGTGTCGGCTCTCTGGAGGGCAAGGAACCAAGGCTATGATAAAATTATTTTCAAAGGTAAATTTGTTAATGGCACCTCCCAAGTCTTCACTGAATGTGGCCTGACCCTAAACTCTAGCTCTGAACTGTGCACCTACCTGTATGGGAGAGACCAGGAAGCCTTCTACTGCATGAAGCCTCAAAACATGCCCTGTGAGGCCCTGACCCATGTGACCACCATGAACCAAGAAATTTCTTATCTTTCTGTCAAGGAAAAAAGTCTTTTCCATAAGTGAGTATATGTTTTAATATAATGAGAGGTGCTCCCAAGCAGAGCTACATTGCTCATCTTAATATTAAGCATGATCTTCTCGGATGCCTTTTCTATTCAAGGTTGTAGTGAGACATGCAGTATCTGCATGGAGACCAGTGTCCATGACTGTACACCACAGTTTGCATTTTGGTTGAAATGAGCAGAAGGAAGGCTACACAAGTTGGAACTATATAATGTATATGCCTATACTTTTCAAGAAAATGGATTTTGTCACATTTGACCATGTATTTAATAGACATAGGTTTAACAAAATATGTTCTGTGGAAAACTCTTCTGTTATATGTTCAAATACACAACCAAAAAAGGATCCCTTGATAAGCACATCATATGATCATGCTCCTTTACCTCCCATATCATATTCCACAGATTCTGCCATTCAAATATCCTGCCTTTGTCCATTTCTCTCCATGTCCAGTGCTGCTTTCCAGGTTGAGACATCATCATCTCACCTACATGACTGTGACAGCTTTCCACCTGGTCTCCCTATCATCAATCATACCCTCTTGAACCTACTCTACACTGCAACCTGAGGAATCTTTCTAAAAAGCCAGCTCCTATGGGTCATCTTCAGTTATATCATGATCAGAGATGCCTCAGTGTACATTGCTCAGGAAGGGCAGAATCCTTCAACCTCCCCACATTGTGATCTAACAGTTCCTAGAAGCCCTGGTTAGCTTCCTCTAACATCAGTGCCCATGTTTCCCCTATCCATCTTGGCTGCAGCCACCCTATGATTTTCTCCCCTGCTGACAAAAAAAAAAGAAAGAAAGAAAAAAGAAAAAAAAAAACTGATGCTCACTCCCTGGTTTCTTTGTTCTCCACTGAAATGGGAGAACTCTTCATTCCTTAGAATGAACTATCGGGGCTTCTTCATGGGCCACTTTGTAAAAAGAAAACTGTCATCACAAATCCCAAAACTATGACCCAAGCCCTGGACACCTATTCGTCCTAGAATCTTTTATTCATTTGCCAGCTTTCCATAAGACTCAGTCTATTTCCTTTTCACTTTCCAGTCTGACAAAATCTATTCAGCTACCCCATGATGACTTATTTTCCCTACATTTGGTGACAATACAATGTTATATTCTGAGCAATCCCTTTCTTAGAAAATTTCAAACTTAGGCTCAGAGTCTTTTTTTGCCCTGCTTAAGCTTTCAAAAACTACACTTATGAGAAATAGAGTAAAGACCAAACCTGGAAAAATAGCATGCATTCCAGAATCTTACCCAGTTATCCAAATTTTGACTCCTTATCCATTCAACTCACCAAATCTCAAACTATTCTAAAATGAGGCAGAGAACGACAGAGAAGGCAGAGCTGGAGTGGGAGGGAAGGGAAAGAACCGATTTTAGTTCTAAGTTGCTGGAGTCACAGGTGGAGACTTCAGACCAAACTGGAGAAAACTGTTCCTACCTTTGTGAAGTTCTGAGCATTTGTAGATGTTATCCAGATAACTAAAAGAGATGTCAACATCAGCAGTGCTCTTTGAAACATGGTAATTGAGGCCATGATGAGAGTCCCAGGAAAGACCACACAGAAACACAATTACATGTACTCACTGTTTTATTTTTTAATCTCTTTCATGTCTAAATCACAGCAAGGATGAGACCATGTTTTACCATTTCCTTTCATGACTGGGCGTAAAAAGACACCCCCCCCCCAGCAGAGAACAGAGTACATCTGTTGTACTGGGTACCTGAGCCCTCCTCCCCATAACCTCTCCCTGCCTGCCTCTATTTACACACATAATGTATGTTGGGTTGAAGAAAAGAGAGGGTAGAGGTAAGAAAAGAAGTTTGAAGTAGGAAGAGTCAGTCTTCATCAAGTGGAGGAAAGAAATACAGTGTTCTTTTATTCACATATCAGTGTGAACACTACTTTCTGACAGCCATATTGATGGATACTGAGGATACAGCAGTGAACACAGACAATACATTACCTTTCTTCACATGATCCTCAGAAAGCAAATATGTAGGAAAATTGAACATACCAGGAAATATGGCTAAAGAGGGAAGCAGAGGCTCTATGATAAGGGGTCTATGTGCCAGGATAAGGAGCTTGGACTCCTGCAGTAAGTGATAGGGAGACAATCAAGGTTTTCAAACAATAAAGCAGTTGTATTTGCAATTGGACAAGGTACTCTGATAGTTGTGCTGAAGAAATTAGGTGAGATAAAACAGATTGACCAATTAGAAGTTCATAGTAATTTTAAAAAAGTATTACTGAACTTGAACAGGTGATGTGAAGGCACATAGGGATTATGCAAACTTAATAATATTATGAATTTAAAATTCTACGACACCCTATTGCATATCATTACATGTGAAAGATGAGTAGAGCTGCCCTGGATTTCAGGTACTCTCAACAAGATAGAAAGCCTTTCAAAAATCCCAATTTATTTACAATACCCAATATCCAAAATATATAACAGAAATAATAACTTTCAGTTAAAGAAACTTAAAAATATCCTTCACTCATAAGCAAATGATGCCTGGTGCCTATGCTATGTGGACACACAACAGGCTAATCTACTGTCTTATTTTTTTTGAAGGTCCAAAGTGGGAGCTGAAATAATGAAAGATCTTGAACATATCGATGTCTTCCAATGTAAAAGTAAGTCCACTTTTTTGTTTGGCATGTGTCTTACACAGAGAAAAATTATCAGTGTTAATTCTTTTAGTTGTAGTTTTCCAGGAGCATAATCCCTAACAGATGTCAGTGATTTCAATCATGCTGAGCTTTATAGGGAGAAATCAACTCAAGGAAATTAGTTTAAATCTGGTAACAGATTTAATCTTGATTTATCCTAAAAAATAAAATAAAGTATCCTACATTCATCTCCCAGCATCTGAGGTGCTGTGCAAATGCCTTTGATAGCTTCAGAGTAGGAATACTATGGTTTTAGTTTCCTGATATCTGTTGGCATAACCTCCAACTTTTAGTTGGTACACTGAATTTTATATGGAGCTTCCATCTAATTTAAATATTTTAATGTAAAATACAAAGCAATATTATATATGAAAGCATAATATTTATATTTATTTATATCTTAGTATTAAATAACCATTTAAGCCTGAGTTTACCAGTAACATTAGTATCCTAGGCAACTCATAATGATATATTGTCAATATTTATTCACTTATTCCTCAAGTGTTTATTGAGGGTCTAATAGATATGAGGCATCATGAGGAAATGAAGAAAAAAGCTGAGCTTATGATCTAAAAAAAAAGATTGGGTTTTAAATCTCTATGAAGAAAGCAAAATACATAAGGTCTTATTTTAAAGTTAAATATATTTGACTGAGCCCTGAAGGATATCAATAGTCAGAGAAACTTCATAAAGATCGTGGGTAGAGTTGCCATATTGAAATAAATAATAATATAGGAAAGCAGTTAAATTTAAGTTATTTCTAATTGCATATATATATGTATACATACACACACACACACACACACACACACACACATATTCAGGTAAAGAAAAAAATATCACATGGTTCATTCCCTAAAAAAGTGTCCCTTACTAGAATAATTTAATTTTCTGTCCTATATTTTTAATGTGAGAACTTTTTTACTTGATAACTCTAGTCATGAGCAATTACGTGAGATCTTGTATTCATAAGCCAATGGAGTGAGCATATGTAACAAAAGATAGGACTAGAAAGAGAAAAAACAGCTAAGTAAATAAACTGTGCTGAGGTTTACAGTGTTTATTTAGAAGGCTAAATAAAGACCAAATGTAGAGGACAGGGGTATGATCTTCTTTGTGTTTTAAAAGGGAGACTGATTCATAGTGGAATAGGGAGAGGGAGTATGGGAGGAATAGACAAACTCTAGGTAGGGCAGAGGGGTTGGAGGGGAAGGGAGGAGGCATGGGGTTATAAATGATGGTGGAGTATGATGGTCAGTATTATCCAAAGTATATGTATGAAGACATGAATTGGTGTGAATATACTTTGTATACAATCAGAGATATTAAAAATTGTGCTCTACATGTGTAATAAGAATTGTAATGCATTCTGCTATCATATGTAAATAAAAATAATAAAAAGCAAATTCAGAATTGAAAAAAGTAAGCATGACCTACACAAAGATAATTTAAAATGCTACTAAGTGACATAAAATGAAATTTATACACAGTAGAAAATATACTCTTTCTGGTTGAGATAATTTCATATTGAGAAGGTATCGGTTTTCCCTGCATTAGTTTCTTTTTGCTGCTATAATAAGTGGCTTTAAGTAAAAAGAACATATTATCTTAGTGTTATTCTTCCAAAGCACAACATCAGTCTCGCTAAGCTATAATCAAGGTACAACAGGCCTGTGTTCCTTTCTAGGGAAGAATCTGTTGTACCTTTCAGCTTCTAAAAGCTACCTTCCTTCCTTTTAGCGCCATCTAGTCTCCAAAGCCACAATGGTAGGTCAATCCTCAAGTTACATCTTTCTAGTCCACCTGCTGCTTCCCTCTTCTACAATGGAGGACCAATGAGATTAGACTGGACTCCCTTTCCTACATAATCTAGAATTATCTAGATTATCCATCTCAAAATTCATACCCTTAGTCCCATCTGGAAAATCCCTTTTGCCATCCATTTTTTTTCCTTGAAGGCAATATATTCCTAGGTTTTGAGAATTAGAACCCAAATATCTTTGGGGGGCATAAGTGCCCACCACAATCTCTAAACTAATCAAAAATATGGGGATGGAAAATATTTAGTAACTGTTTGTCTCAAGGTTCTAGGGTTACAGTATTTAATCATCCAGAATGCAGTGCTATCAAGCCTCCTTGGAGCCCAAAAAGGTCACATTGAAATTCCAACAAAATCATAGGTTTAGAAAAACTATCGTTGGTGAGCAAAACCACCAGGAATTAAGAAGCATTTTAAATACATTTTTCAATTTATGTGTGTGAGTTTGTGTGTGTGTGTGTTTGTATGTGTGGTACTGCACATTGAACCCAGAGTCTCACCCATGCTAGGCGAGCACTCTACCACTGAGCTACACCCTAGCCCACATTTTCCAATTCTGAAAACAGCACCATTTTGCCATTTGGTATACTAATTACAAAAAGAATTGGCCCTTGGTATTTATGGGGGTTTAGTTTTGATAGCCACTATTTACACCAAAATCTGTAGATGCTCAAGTCCTTACATAACATGGCATGCTATTTGCATATAAGTACATCCTCCAATATACTTTAAATCATTTCCAGATGACTTACAATGCCTAACAATGTAAATTCTTTGTAAATAGTTGTCATACCATTTTGTTTAGAAAATAATGAAAAAGGTCTGTACACATTTAATAAAGATAAAGAGTTTTTCCTGAATGTTTTCCATCCATTATTAAGTGGAATCCACACATACAGAACCCATGGATATGAAGGGCTGACTATACAGTATCTCCATGTATAGTATATTATTCTGTGGACACAAGCAACCAGAGACTGTAAGGTCCATGAGGGACTTAACAAGGAAGATAAAGCACAGAGTGCTGGTAATTTCCCAATATCCATTCCCTCCTCCTTTTTAGTAAGAGTAACCATTACTTGAGCTGGAACCATGGCCACTTTTCCTTGTGGCTACTTAAGCTCACATTACCTTTCTCTAAGAGTATGAACAGAAATTGTCTGGGGAACTTATAAGTAATGCCTTTCAAGGCAAAACAACTTGCCTTCCTCTTCCATTTGTCTCCTTGCTACTAGCTGAACTGTAGATAAAATGTGAGAAAGGAAACTGCACTGTTAGACTGAAAGACTAAAACCATATGTTAAGAATAGTAGAACAACAAGATAAGAGAAAGAGAAGTCCCTCACAAGATGCAATAACACATTAACCTTGGCCTGGTCACTCTGAAACTGTTTTGTGAGGGACAATACATTTAAAATTTTAAGGCATTATGTTGGCCTATTTTACAGCATTCAACTTGTTTCCTATCCAGTACAGGAAGTGAATGTAATACAGAAATGCTGATGTAACAAAATCTAAATTATGAGTACTGGACATACAGGTCAGTGGAAGGGTGCTTGCCTTGAATGCATGAGACTTGGGGTCCAATTGCAAGCATTGCAAAAAATACAAATAAAAATAAAAAACCTAAAATGTGAGACAACTGCTTGGCAGTAGGGCAACAGCATAGAGAATAGCAAGGAAATATGATGCAGACATTTGATGACCTTTGTTATGCCACAGCAAAGAGTTGGTGCTCTGCCACAGGGGATACCTTTGAAGGCAGACAACGACAGAGCCTGCAGCTACAGAGAAACAGGCTGCAATAATTTCTCAGAATCATGGTTTCTGTTGGGTGCTGTATGACACTTTTATTAAGGTCCTATTAAAAACTACATTAAGTCAATCTAGGTATTTAATATTATATAAGGTTTTCAAAAGGTGCATATTATATTTAAGCCATTTTTTAAACATGAAAAAACTCATACTATTCCTTCATTGATGGAACAAATGTAAATGACTCAATAACAAAGACCCCAATGGGTAGTTCACTGACATTCAGATTAGAGAACCAAATTAAGTCACTGCAGAATCAGAGGAATGGCAAAGAAAGGAAAGGACATGGAGACTTAGCTAATGACCACAGGTGGGAGAAAATGAACAGTGAGGAGTCAGCATGACTCCAAATCTCTCAGAAGAAAGAGTAGCAGTGCCTAAAACAGGCTGGTGATCATAAAAATCTCAGTAAGAGACAAAAGACAAAAGTAGAGGGAGAGAGAAAGGGACCAAGAAAGGGAAGGACCAAGAGAGGAGGCTGGATGTTTGACACATGCCACTGACACCACTCACCATGAGATCTCTGTCACTAGAGAGAGAAAAGAGCACAGAGAAATGCCAAATTGGAAAGAAGACTCCAGCCCCTGGTGGATACACTTTACAAGGAAGGTGGATAACAACATTTTGCAACCAGATTCAACTAGATACAAACAAGATCAATGGCTGCTTGAAGGGAAAACTCATTTACCTGATGGGAGACTCCACACTGCGTCAGTGGATCCACTACTTACCCAGAGTTGTAAAAAGTATGTAGTTACTTTATGTTCTTTTGGAAGTTCAAGCTGATCATAAAGTACTTTCAATGAGGTCTCCATCTATTCTCACTTGTGCTAGTTTTTTTGTTGTTGCTGTTGCTTTTTTTTAAATTTCATTTAGCTTTCTAGAGTTGTCTTAATTTAAAATCTATTTTATTCCCTCTTTCATAAGAACTGTTGTTCCTCCTTATAAACTCCAAAGAAAACTTTACATTTTGATTGATATTTCACACACATGAACTGGTAATTTATCCTAGAGGGTAGAATGCTCCCGACAAAAATACTATAGAAGGTGATTATAAATGATATTGTAGATATTCTTTTTAAAACTATTAATCACTGCCTTCTATCTAAAAATCTGCTTTTTTTCTTATCAGCACTAAAATTTTTTGATCTTCATGGAACTGGACCTTTTAAGAAACATTTGCTTCTGGATGCTGAAAGACATACTCAGATACAATGGAAAAAACATAGCTATCCTTTTATCACTTCTCATCTTTACTCTGTGACAGAAGAAGGTTATATCCCTCAGGAAATTGACCAGATTTCGGGTGACAAAAACACAGCTATTGTCATAACCTTTGGCCAACACTTTAGACCTTTCCCCATTGATGTTTTCATTCGCAGAGCCATCAGTGTTCGAAAAGCTATTGAACGACTATTCCTAAGAAGCCCAGACACTAAAGTGATCATTAAGACAGAAAATATCAGGGAGATGCACATAGAAACAGAAAGGTTTGGAGACTTCCATGGTTACATTCAGTATCTTACCCTGAATGACATTTTCAAAGATCTCAATGTAGGTGTCATTGATGCCTGGGACATGACCATTGCATATGGCATCAATAACGTCCACCCACCTAATAATGTGATTGAAAAACAGATTAACATGTTCTTGAACTACATTTGCTAAAGAATAAATAAGCAAAGTCACTAGGAACCAATTTTCACATTCCATGTGTATTATCAATGAAATTTTATTCATTTTAAAGACTAAGAAAATCAAACTTAAAGGAACCATATTTGGGATTATTTGTGGTACACTTAAAGACAATGATAATGGAGATGAGGTACAAAGTCAAAAGACCAGATATGAAGAATGACCACATCATCCATGGAGCATGAGTGTGTGTGATAATGAGTGTTTTCATACTTGAGGCAAGTTTGGGTCATGATCTTTGGTTACTCCTGGCTGAACTAATGGAAAGGTAGAAGAATATAAATATGTAATTGTCATGATGCTCTAAAATGGTCAACTAACTTTCTCTGTAAAGGTATAGATAGTAACTATTTTGGAATCTGCAGGCTATCCTGTCTCTGTCACAACTGCTCCACTCTGCACTGTAGTACAAAAACAGCCACAGACAACATGTGAACAAATGAATGTGTTATGTTTCAATGAGACTTAACTAATGGACAAGGAAACTTGTATTTCATATAATTTATACTTGTCAGGAAATATCATTATTATTTTGATTTTCATAAACTGTTTATAAATGCAAACACCATTCTTAGATCACAGGCCCTAAAAAAAGTGGTTGTATTTGGCCTCTAGGAAATATTTCTCTGTTACCTGATTTAAAACAAAAAAAAATTTTGTAAAATTAAAGCCAAAAATTCAGTAAAACTGAACAAAAATCCTTCATATGCTGTGTAGAAAACTAATAATAAAGTTGAAATAAAAGAAAATTACCTAACTTGAGAAAATTATCTACCCAAAAAATACAAGCAACATCACTTCCTGAGTGAAGCACAACAAACATTTCTTACTAAGTCAGATACAAACCCAAGAACCTCTCACTAGCTCTAGCTCACTAGCCCGTGAACTGCAGTACATGCCAGAAAAGAACAGAGTAACTGCTCCTATTTCATCATTCCCTTAGGAAAAAACCAAAAGCCTAAGAAGAAGAAGGTGACCTCACACGAGCTCAATAAAAAAAGCTTCTTTAACAGTCAAAATTAGATGACATAATTAAAACTACATGGTATCCTCTGCATAAAGATTATGTACATCTTTCATTATACTTAATCCTAGATATTTGGTACTTTTTGATCTACTGTATTTTTAAAATCTTTACTATTGTCAAACATTTATTATGTCTTACAAATTTGCACAAAACTTCAAAGTACAGCTCAGTAAACTATCAAAAAGAGACACTTGGGTTGGAGTTATGGCTCAGTGCCAGAGCTCTTGCCTAGCACAATGTGAGGCACTGAGTTTGATACTCAGCATCACATAAAAAAAAAGAAATAAAGGTATTATGTCTAACTACAACTAAAAAATTTAAAAACAGTGGTTAACCCAATGGTTAGGATTAAACAGAATAGAGGATATGTAAGATCTCTATACACATATACACACTCCACAACCGCAAGGATTAAAGCATTCTGTAGATTCAATGCAATTCCAATCACAGTATTAACAGATTATATATGTGCATGGAGTTGTATATAACTTGACAATATGATACCAAACTTTCTAAGAAAACATAAAATGCCAAAAATAATCAAATCACTGATAGAAAGGAATAAGTTTAAAGAACTTACTTTTCCAAACAGCAAGACTTTCCTTAAAGCCATAGAATTATGACTGTGGCACTGGTGCAAAAAAAAAAAAAATCAAATACCAGTGAAACAGAATTGAGGAGACAGAAAAGGCCCTGCAATACAGACATGTGCTTCATGACAAATGGAACAATGAGGACAAGACAGTCTTCACAACAAATGTTCTCAGAAAATAAGATATACACGCATAAACAAACAAAACTGCACCCCAATCCTATTCACAAAAAATATGAATCTGGAGATATTACACAACTAATCATTGAGAAGCAAAGCAACAATCTTACCACATTATCTCTTCAAAAGAACCAATGTTTTCAAATTTCTAAACTTTCTAGGATCTCTGCTGGTCCTACTGCACCAGACTACTCCTCCATGACTGGTACGCAGTTTGACACTCCACTTGAGTTTGACAAGACCACAACCATCAATGAGAAGAGTTCAACAAATACAGTACACTTTTCTTAAGTACAAGAACACTATAAAATAATTATAAACGTAAATATATAAACCACTAACACATTGGGTTTTTTAGAAATGCACGACAGTAGAATCTATTTTGACATATTATGCACACATGGAGTATAACTTATTCTAATTATAATCACGTTTTTTAAATTTTTTATTTTATTTATTCTAATTAGTTATATATGACAGAATGCAATTCAATTCATGTTATACAAATAGAGCACAATTTTTCATGTCTCTGGTTGAACACAAAGTAGAGTTACACCATTAGTGTCTTCATACATGTACTTAGGGTAATGATGTCCATCTCATTCCACCGTCTTTCCTACTCCCATGCCTCCTCCCTACCTCTCTCTCCCCTTTCCCCTATCTAAAGTTCATCTATTTCTCCCATGCTCCCACCACACCATCCCCATTATGAATCAGCCTCCTTATATCAGAGAAACATTCAGCATTTGGTTTTGGGGGATTGGCTTACTTCACTTAGCACTATATTTCTCAAACTCCATCTATTTACCTGCGAATGCCATGATTTGATTCTCTTTTAATGCTGAGTAATATTTCATTGTGTTATATATAGCACATTTTCTTTATCCATTAATCTACTGAAGGACATTTAGGTTGATTCCACCATTTAGCTATTGTGAATTGAGCTGCTATAAACATTGATGTGGCTGTGTCCCTGTAGTATGCTGTTTTTAAGTCCTTTGGATATAAACCGAGGAGTGAAATAGCTGGGTCAAATGGTTGTTCCATTCCACGTTTTCCAAGGAATCTCCATAATGCTTTCCAGATTGGTTACACCAATTTGCAGTCCCACTAGCAAAGAGTGAGTGTGCCTTTTCCTCACATTCTTGTCAACACTTACAGTTGTTTGTATTCTTAATAGCTGCCATTCTGACTGGAGTGAGATGAAATCTTAGAGTAGTTTTGATTTGCATTTCTGGAATTGCTAGAGATGTTGAACATTTTTTTCATATATTTGTTGATTGGTTGTATATCCTCTTCTGAGAAGTGTCTGTTCAATTCCTTGGCCCATTTATTGATTGGATTATTTGTGATTTTTTTTTTTTTGGTGTTGAGATTTTTGAGTTATTTACATATCCCAGATATTAGTGCTCTATCTGATGTGTATAGGGTAAAAATTTGCTCACATTCTGTAGGCTCTCTCCTCACCTTATTGTTTCTTTTGCAGATAAGAAGCTTTTTAGTTTGAATCCATCCCATTTCTTGATTCTTTACTTTAATTCTTATATTATATAAGTCTTATTAAGGAAATTGGAGCCCAATCCAACATGATGAAGATTTGGGCCTACTTTTTCTTCTAGTAGGTGCAGGATCCCATTCTTGTGGTTGAAGGTGATGTGGAGTTTCACAGGTCATGTATTCATATATGAACATAGGAAAGTTATGTCCAATTCATTCTACTGTCTTTCTTATTTCCATTCCCTCTCCCATCCTTTTGTCTAACCTGATGAACTCAGTACATTATTTATTATCATTCTAAAGTACATGTACCAGACATGTAATAAGTACATGTACAGACAAGTAATACTGGCATTATTATTTTTTGCAAGTATTTTTATTTTTATTGAATAGAGCAAATGATTATATAAATAACATTAGATATTTAAGACTTTTAGTGTAAAAAAAGATTTTAAGTTTTTTTTAACATGTTTAATTACCTTGAAAATGGCTGAAAAAAATCATGATTCTAATTTCATATATAGATATTCCTTAGCTCTGTCCATCAAAAAGGCATAGAAACTATAGTAACATTAGGAGAAATCACTCCTAGGACAAGAAGGCATCCTTAGAGGAAAGGCTGAATCCAGGATAAGGGCAGAACAGACATGCATTAATAGAAAGGAGGAGCCTCAGCATCTTCTTACATCAGGAAGCAAATTGCCAAAGACACGGGGACTCACATCATGGAACACAGGAGGTAATCCAAAGGGCTCTCTTCATGCCAAAGATGGGAGAAATTCATCAACAAAAGGAATAACAACTGCAGTTGATTAAAATATACACTATACAAAATCCCTGAGTTCATAATGATATGGAAAAGAGAGAGGTATATGGAAAAGCAAAGACTAAAGTGCTCATGAATCATTAGTAAAGATAGCAAACTTCTTCCTTACTCTGAAAATTGGCAATTAAAGAGAAATATATGAACATATACTCTTTCCTGTTAAAAAGGCAGCCAGTAGACATAACAACTAAAGGAAAGTTTCTCTTTGCAGAAGAATTATAGTAATGCATATAGAAGGAATGACAGAATTCAGGAACCAGCATTTTATTTTTTTTTAATTTGTTATTTGTTCTTTTTTAGTTATACATGACAATAGAGTATATTTTAATGTTATTATACATACATGGAGTATAATTTCCCATTCTTGTGGTTGTACATGATGTGGAGTTACACTGGTTGTGTATTCATAAATGAACATAGGAAAGTTCATCTGATTTATTCTACTATCTTTCCTATTCTCTTCCCTTCCCCTTCCCTTCCTTCCCCTTTGTCTAATCCAATAAACTTCTACTTTCCCTACCCGCCTCTCATATTCTGTGTTAACAACTGCATATCAGAAAGAACATTCAACCTTTGGTTTGAGGGGATTGGCTTATTTCACTTAGAATGATAGTCTCCAGTTCTATTCATTTAGCAGTAAATGCCATAATTTCATTCTTCTTTTTGGTTCAGTAATATTCCACTGTATACATATACCACATTTTCTTTATCTATTCATCTGTTAAAGGGCACCTAGGTTGGTTCCATAGCTTGGCTATTGTGAATTGAGGTACTATAAACATTGATGTGGCCATGTCACTATCGTATGCTGATTTTAAGTCCTTTGGGTATATACCTAGGAGTGGGATAAC